GCATCTCGGCATCTCACCTCACCTCACCTCACCTGGGCCGAGGGCTGTCGGGGCGCTTGTGTGGCGCTGGCAGTGAGTCCGGCCGGGAGTCTGCCCGGTCTGGTGAAATGGAGAGCACGGCTGAGCGTGCACGTGCGAATGGCCTGCTGTTGGATTGTTATAATCTCAGCAGCAACCAGTTTCAAAGTGATAGAATAAGATGTAGAACGTTATAAACTTGGTTAACAGAAAAAAAGTCTTTTGTTTTAATATAATTGTATAGGAGCTGCTGTGGCTCTGGAAGAAATAAAGTTTTACTGACTGTTGCTTATCATTTCCATGGTTGATATTTTTACCAATTCTCTTCATGCAATGCCCTTTAAGTATCTTATATAATCCCCACTTTACATTTTGTTTAGTGTTTCACAAAGCATAGTAGTTTTTGAGTTGATGAGCTCAGCATCCCAGTAATTTCAATGGAAGTGCCACAGAAGGCTGTTCCAGGAGATGGTTTCAGGAGGTTGGGCAGAGCAGCGTGTGCTTTTATGGGAAACTACTTTATGGCTGTTTGTTACAGAAAGGCAGTGTAGGCTGCGATTAGATTCTGAGACTAGAACTGCAGTTGTCTTTGGCAACCTTTTATTTTCTATTTGTATGGTTAGCTCAGCATTATTTGGGCAAAGAAGAGCCGGGAGTGCATTGCAATTTGTTTAACACTTTTTACAGAGTTTACAGTTCCTAGACCAGAAGAAGTCCTGGTTGTCAGCAGTTACACACAGGTTCCAGTGTCTTGCTCTGAAGTAACTGAGGTGATGCTGTTGGGTGGAGAAATGTGCATGAGAGTCTGTAGTAGGTGATCTTTTTAGAAAAGTGCTGAGACAGCCTCTACTTTTTAGATATATTGATTTAAACCATTTTAACTACTGTTCTCTTTCACTAGCGTTCCTGTGGAGTGCAGGCAAAGGAGTGTTGGTTGGAAGAAATGTGACAGGTGAAGAAATAGTTTTTCTGGAGGAGGGGAGTAGTTAGACATGCATAAACTCCTGTCTGAAGATCCTGTAGTTTATAACCACCTTCTCAGACTGCGCTTCTCAGGAATCTTACTGCAAGAAAAGACCAGTATTCAATCTGGGTGTCCTTTAATGCTAACACGATGTGTTTCTGACATCCATAAAACTAGAAGTATTTTGTGTTTTAATAACATACAATTGGTAGTGTATATACTGTTTGAAGCTGTTTAAAGTCTTCAGATTATGATTGATGGGAAGGACTAAATACAAAGAAGTTTATATTATACTAGGGGAGCAAGACATCCCTTTGAAGCTGTTAGGCCAGCATTTTGCTCTTGGTTCAGTACATGCCCCGAGACATGAGCTGGAAAACAACCGTTGACAAATCAACTCCAGAGAAACAAAATACCTCAAAGAGCTGATTTTAAAAGAGCTGAAAATATTGAACAAGGAATACAGGTAATGAGCTAAAATAATGTAATTAAATATTGTGTGAAAGAATGCATAGGTAGTATAGCTAATAAAAGCTCATCAGAAAAGAAAGGGTTGGTCAGCATGGTGAAAATAAATTTCACCAGAGCTTCAGGTGCTGTATACTTTTGCATTTAGATTTGGGAGTATGGGCGTGAGCCTGGGTTCATTCCTAGGGAAACTGTTCCAGGACAGAATGCCTTTTTATTAATTACTATTACAAAAGTAGGACTATGACAAGTTTATGTACATTTATGCAAGTTTATAGCCTCTCACGATTTGATTTGATTGTCATCCCTTGACATCTTTTGGCCTAATTTAGAATAAAAACAATTAATTTGTAACTTCTTTCCATAAGCCTGTAATGTTCTTTTGGCATTGTTTTATTTCTTGCAGTCTTTGTATCGGTTTCCTATGCACCCTTTAGAATTAGGAGGAATATCTTTGTACAGCACCTGCATACCTTACCTAGCATTATAAGGTCTTGTCCTGTGACTTGGGCTCTGGCTACCAGATCTTGCTTTGTGGTTGTGTATACGCAAAATGACCCAAGACTTTTTCTGGAATCAGGAACATGAAATTAAAGGAACCTAAAATAAGGGCCCCAGAAAATTTTTAGAGGAGATGTTAAAGAAATGTGTAGATGATTTAACTACATAACTCAGGGATATGGTTTAGTGGGCATGGTGGTGATGAGTTGACGGTTGGACTGCATGATCTTAGAGGTCTTTTCCAACTAATGATTCTGTGATTCTGTAACTGTGAAGTTTAAGTGTTTTTTGTTGACAGTGGTGCCAAATGCAGAGGGTACAGTAATTGTGTGGTGAACCTCTGTGCAAAAAGGAAAATGGCAAATGCTGAGATATGCACAGGAAAGGGGGCAGAAGAAATTTCACCATAACCAGAAAAAACACTGTAGTGCCACACTTGAGAGAGGGAGCTTCAGGGACAGTATTGTCTGAAACACTTGGAATTGTGAGCAAAAATTTCCAGGGTTTGAGCCCTGCTCTGTTCAGTGGTACAGGACTTCATAAATTCTTTTTATTTAAAGAGATTAGGTCAAGTAAGTACCTGAATATGTCACCGATTTTGTGTAAAAAATCAGTTGATCTCCCTAAATTGTTCAAAAGGGATAAAATGTGATCCTGTTTTATTATATCTATGGTAATTTATGTTAAAGCAAGCCAATACCTAACATTAATTGAGAAAGATGTGAAGTCAGTGTTACCCATTTTCTGTTAAACCATAGTCTTGGAAAAGTTACAGGTAATGGAAATATCTGCATAGTGTTTCTTCCGTGAACAAAGGAAGAGAAGGGCTTAATTACTTAAGACAGTTTTGCTTGGCTACACAGTCTCTTTCTTTCCCCTTTTCTAACACAGGGTACAGCTATGTCTAGTGCTGTGTATGGTGCATTAATTTCCATGTTTCAGTCTATTAAAACAACTGTAACATTTTAATGTTCTTTCAGTATTGGCTGACATAATGAAAAGAGCAAAATGTACAGTCCATACAAATTGAGAAGTAGTGCTGTTCTAAAGTTTTTCTAGCATACTTTAAAGGTGGTTCCTTTCAGAGAACTGAAGATTTAATTGTGTCTTGGTTACAACAGTGTTTAAAGTTTATACAAAAGACCCTGTCATTGCTGTACTGTCAAGGTGCCAACATCTTCAAGATAAAAGCATTCTTTTTTTTTTTTTTTTTTTTTTCCATTGCCTAATAAGCAGGAGGACTGGATCCAGTGTGCACTGGCCATTGCATGTCACTGCTGCCTGATAGATTTAAAAAATGCTTAATCATCATGGTGTTCTGTAAGTATGAATGTCAGCATGATTGAAACGTGCAAGGTTTATCTGAACTCTTTAGAAAACTAGGGTTAGTAGAAAAAGAAAATAAGAGTTCTACAGTGAAGATAGCTGTCTTGGTAGATTTCTAACCTCTAACTTTCTAACTTCCTGACTTGTTGGGATACTTGAATTTTTATCTGTAGTTCATTCTAGGAGAATACTGCACTGTAAGTAGCTTTTGCTCTTTTGAAACAAGAACTAGATTATTGAATATTGTTATCACTGGCTATTATAATGACCGAAAGTGGTAAACTATGAGCAAGATTTTATTTAAGATACCAACTAAGGGGTAATACTCAAATAAAAAAGAGACTCAAAACTTTTAATTTGTTGGTCTGATTTGGAAGCAGCCCCATGAGAATGTAGTACAGTCATTTTCTAGTGTGTTCTGTTAATTAAAATTCAGGAGGCATTTTCCTGTTCCCTGGCTTAACTGCAGTTTTTGCTGTGCTTTTGTTCCATATCTGAATAGATGTTGTTGAAAGCCAAAGTGTAAGGGAGAACTTTTCAAAGACAGCATGACTCACTGAACGGTGAGAATATCAAAAAGTGTACAGCAGCTGTGTTCACAAGACTGTTTTAAACTGGCAGTTAACTTTTCAGTTGAAGGTAAGCATGAAGGTTTTTAACTGTTGAAAAATCTGCAGTAGTTTAATTCTAATATAAGATACTCCTCAAGGTATTTGAACAGATTGGCAGACAGTGAGAGGTGAAGAAAAAAGGGCAAAGTGCACAAGAAAAATGGTTGATACTGGGTAAATTAGAAAAAGTTTGCTGTAGCTTAATTATTGTGAGTATATGAGTTCACTGGACTCAGTGAAAGTCTGTCATTTTAGATACCTGATAAGAAGTGTTATAATCAAATGGAAGTTAATATCTAAACATATTTAAATTATCTTTTCTGTTCTATAGTTTTTAAAAAAAAAAAGAAAAAGAAAAAAGCAAAAAGCTTTGGTTATAGAGTTACCATCGAGCTTAACACCTCCAAAAATGGTTCTTAGATCTTGAAATAGAAGTCTGTTGAGGTATCACACAAACTTTCATTTTGTTGGTGTTTATACTGTATTATTATGAACTGTGCCTACAGGATGTAATTTAATTGTATGCAAGTAAGTTGTTAGAATACTTACATATTTGAAATCTAAATACAACTTGTTACTATTTTATTTTAGCTTAATTAGACAAAAACATAGTTGAGCACTGATCTGAGTATGTGAAGGAACTAAATTATATTTTTGGTCTTTCTTCATCATTTGCATTTCCATTATTATTATTTAATTGCCTTTGTGAAGTGCTATGACCAGGGAAGAAGGTTACAGAGAAGAATTTAGCTATGACAGGATGCCAACTTTGGAACGGGGAAAACAAGAGAATGGAAATTATATACCAGATATCAAATCCAGTGACCTTCAGCTATCAAAGAGGCTACATCCTTGCTTTAGTTACAGAACATGGATCTTTTCTTTGCTGATGGGAGTAAGTACTTTAAATGATCTGAAATTTTAACGTGTAGGTGAAGTCTCAGTGCCCAGCAGTCTGTTCTGTTTCACATCATTTAGGGACTTACAATTTCATCACTGATAGTACTGAATATAAGTATTTGTGTAGAAAGGAAAATATTTAGTGAATTTAGAATGTAATACTTCAGTGACTAATGGTAATTGACTAAGTGACTTTGGATAATTCTGCACTAATCAAAGAAGCTATATGAAGGTTGATTTTTATCTTTAATATTAATCAAATATTGTAAACAGAATAAGTGTGGTAGTGGTAAATATCAACCCATATGGATGTATAAGCAGTGCCTTTTGGTAAAGTATCCTGATCATATGCATTCTTTTAATATTTTTAGCTGTTGAAAGTACTTTACTTGCCATGATAGCATTATGGCATTAAAAATATATATGGTATTTAAGTGCCACATTCATCTTTCAGGGTTCAGTAGTCATGTAGTTATTTGTTAGAATCTTCGTGTAGTGAGGTACATACTTCTGTGTCTTACATAAATGTCACAGTGATTTGAATTTTTGTGTCACTGCTAGAACCATGGGACACTGGTTGCTTCTTAATGTTCTGAGCCAAGTTGATTAAAGTTCATTATAGCAATGAGAATTTGATCTTGTCTTTTTCTGTCAGCTCCTGTGTTTTGAAGAGTAATTTTTATTAAGAGCTAAATATGTTTCATATTAATATGAAATTAATATGTTTCATGTTAATATGTTTCTGTTAATATGGTAATTACTTATTTTTGCACAGTGAATAAAAGTGTTGCCTTATTTTCATGGAAACAGCTGAACATTTTTTTTTCCTTTCTGACAGTCTGTGGAACTTGGATTTCCTTTCAGATGTACTGTTACATAAAAAGAGAGCAAAAGAAGAGCTGGCTTTCTTTGCATTAAATTTTCTCAAATGGAATTGTCAAAAAGGAGAACTGTCTTTAATTAGATTTTTCCTTTTTACTGAGTTGTTGTGAATGATTGGAGATACTAATGTTTAATGATCATGTGCTGAAGTCTTATTACCAAGAAGCATGAATTTTAGGGATAAATGAAATTGCAATTTTATTAATAAACAACTCCAATAAATTCCAATTAGATTTTTCTCCCGAGTGTTCTAGTGGTTAATCTCTCTCAACTCTTCTGAAAGATAGTGTCCAGAAAGGAAAGTCTGTATGCTGAGCAACAGAAGTAATGGTGAACAGAACCGTCTGCTTCAGGGAGCAGTTGCCTACTGTAGAGTGACATCAGGGTAGCTGCTGGTGTGGGTTGTTCTTGTGCAGGAACAATTCAGTAGGCTTCAAGCACAATTTCAAGTTGTGTTGCATAAATACTGTTCTTCCAGTCTGACAGAATTCTCTCTGTGTTTGCTTATGCACACATACATGCTCTCCTTTTTTTCTGTTATTTTTTTGACAAGGACTTTTTAAAGACCCTCATGGCTTTGCAACATGAAAAAAATGCCCAAATAAAACAAGAGCCGTTTTGTCTCTTGGTCTGCCCCAGCCCCTTCAGTGAAATGCCTGCTCTGAGAAATGACAAGCAAAAAGAAAAATTGTTAGTAGAATACACTAATCATTATTGCTGAGAGTGTAACTGATAATTATGAAATAAATAAAATAGTTAGCAAGGAAACAGGAGGAGATGACCGTTTATGACTGTGCCACTGGACCAAAGCAGGAAGACTTTGGAGGGAGACAGGAATATAGGTGGAAGAATCTTCATTAATGTATCCCAGTATTATTTTTGTTACTGTGTTCTAGTTGGTAATTGCCCAGCTGCCCATGTGTGCAATGAACGTTGGTGCAGCCAAGCAGGGAATGCAAAGTAGAGGCTTAGTTGAGGTTTCTGAACCATTTTTACCTTTGAACACTGCAATTACCTTTTGAGGATATTATTAGGTATTTGCCAGGTCAGGACACAGTGCTTGATTCAAACATGATTACATTGTTCAGTATTAAGTCTTGGTAACCAATAAAACATCTTCTTCACAACTCAGCATGTTTTGATATTTTGCTTGAAAATTATTCATACAAAGTCTGTACTATTTAAATGCTCATCAGTAGCATAATTTGGAAGGAATTACTGATTTCTATCTGACTAGTTGCTTTTTAAAAAATAATTTTATTAATCTTAATTTATCTTATCTGTTGCTTTGCAGACTTGCCTCCTTATTACATCTGGCTTTTCACTATATCTGGGAAATATTTTTCCATCTGAAATGGATTATTTACGTTGTGCAGCAGGTTCAGTAAGCATTCTTAATTATTTGCTGTGGCTGTTTGACAGCAAAATCAGTAGTAAATAATTTTATGGGTTTATTGTCTTTTTATTCTGTCTGTCTTTTTATTACTAGCTTTCTTAATGGAAGATTTAATTCTGTTTAACAGTTCATTAAATAGGTTTTCATCCCATGGTTAAGGGAATAACAGTTGTCATAAAGACAACTGGTTTGTGCCACCGTTTTTGTTAAGTAGCTCACAACTGGCATGCAGTACTTACCCACTTGAACAGTTCTCTGCTTGATTTTAAGAAAATTTGCTTTGTTATGTTATGGGAATTTCCTAGCTAAGTGCTATCAGAATGTATTTGAGATTGTATTTCTAAGTATTATTTTTTTGGTGTTATTTTGCAATAGTATCCAAATACTGAAGCAGACTAAAAAGTTCTCTTGAATATTATTACTTTATTAGTAAAATGCATTGAAGATGCCTGTCGTTTTTCAAAGTCTGGTATTTTCACTATATTTTAGGGACTCATATTTGTTTTACTGTATTATATAAGTTTAATCTACACTTTGAATCTGTGTGCATAAGATGAGTCTGATGTACTTGCTTTGTTCATGACAGGATTCTGTTCTCTCATTGTTATTTTTGCATCTGGACTTGCAGATTTGTTTTAAGTTAGGTGCCAGACTAACGCTTTACTTTAAATAAGCAGGAGTTGCTCTGTGAATGAGTTGTCACTTATGTTTCTGCTAGAGAGGTTAAAATAAAGATGAGGCAGTTTTTGAAGTTAATATCTTCACTGTTATGTTATTCTCTGCAGCAGTAGTGTTAGTCAGCGAGATGTCTTTTTTCTGCCCCAAATCTTGTCTCTTTGATCTTTGTATTTATTGAGAGTTTCCAAAGATCTGGTAGGTGCAGAAGGTTATCACACTGGGTTTGAATGGCTTGCTGTGGGTGAAGATGTGTACATTTGGGTGTCTGCATGTGAGCAAGCTGCTACAGCTCCTCCTACAGATAGTGGAGTCAATATAGTTGGAAGAGCCTAGAGAGCTGCATAGCCAACTGACCACTCAGTGTCTAGTTTAGCATGAGCTGAATTGCACTCTACACTTTTTTGACCATCTTGACCAGTAGTAGGATTCAGCTGCCTAAACATAGTCATGTTGTGTTCTAGAGATTTTTGTAAAATAGAGTTGGATCTGTAATGATGGCATATCTGTTGTGGTGGGGAACAGTTAAGGGATAGGGAAATTTCTGAAACTTTCACTGTATGTGATTTTTCCATTTAGCTCTACCCTTAAGCAGAGAAGCACAGTTCCCAATGAACATAGTGGAGATCCCAGGCACAATTCTTAAAGTGTAATTTGACTCAACAGATCAGTTTTCACAAAGTTCTTCAGAGACTGGCCAAATTTTAGCTTACACAACCATGGCTTTGTCTGTTTTAAGAGAATGTGGAGGCCTGGTTTGGGAGTAGCAGTGTTTTTTTTTCTTCCTGCTCAAGGATCTCAGGCTTTCTAGAGTTAATTTAAACTATCAAAGGCACGACATGCCTCATGGAAGACTTTCTTTCTTTCACTCATCACATTGGGCTGGGTAGCTAATCAAAACTGAGGGTTATGGAAGGCATATTTAAAACTCTTGTAAAATCCTTGGATACTGATTGTAGTTAATGAGCTCAGACAAGAGTGACAGACTTTCCTCAGAGTTTCTGATCTTCTGTTTGTTTAAGTTAACTGAAATATGAATTCAGACCAAATAAAATACATGTATAGAAATATATGTAAAATTATTTGTACAGAATATCCCACTAGTTTTCTCTTTTAATTTTCCCAGTGTATTCCTTCAGCAGTTGTGAGCTTTGCAATAGCAAGGAATAAAATTAATGTGGTAAGTATAAGATTTTTAGTGGCAATTATATCTTCCCCACCCCCCCCACCCCGTGGTTAGAATGAGAGAGAAACCCATTCTGAAACTGTTTTTCAGATACCCAATTTTCAGATTCTGTTTGTCTCTACATTTGCTGTTACAACAACATGTTTAGTTTGGTTTGGATGCAAACTTGTCCTCAATCCATCAGCTATAAATGTAAGTTACTAAAACAAATACTAATTAATACTACATTTCTCTTTTTTTCTTTTTTTTAAAAAAAAGGTGTGAGGTGGGTGGTGGTCACATGTAATTACACTGATGTCAATATCCCGGTATTCCTACTTAGTTTGTGAGGAGAGATCGTCTAGCAGTAACTTTTCTGAGTAAGACAAGATGGAAAATTGACATTGGACATGAAAACTTACATGGCTGAAAGATGCACAGTGCAGCTAATTTAGAGGAGATTAATATGAAAATTACTTTCCTGTCTTCTTGTATTCAAAGTTCAAAAACATTAATTAGATCTTCAAATGTGATGTAGTTTGGCCAACTGACTGTTTATTTTTCAGTTGACTGTAGCAAGTTTTGTTTTGTTTTGTTTTTTTTTCAAAGAGCTGGGTTAGAAGAGAAAATTGAGAATTAATTAGTAACGCATCTGTAGATTAGCCAGTTTTTAAGGTTGAATTGTACTGAAATGAGGTGTCCCAAATGGTGTTACTTCTAGGACCTTTCATCGTCAGATTGAGCATAATCCTTTCCTGGATCTCCTTTAATGGATAGTTTTGCTTGTGAGGCCATCAGGAAAGAAATATCGATGAATGTTTTTCTTGTACATCATTAACAAAGAGAATGCAGCAGTTGCATCATTTGAAGCACATGTGCTTCATGCTGGGAAAAGTTCACTGGTTTTGAGTCACAACCTTTTAGCATCTGCCTTTGGTAGTCTGAGCCAAACAGTAGAACTACAGGATGGTTTTGGGGTTTTTTTTCTATGGTATGATGTTCTGAGACCTCTATACTACATAAGAATATTACATATATGAGTAAATAACATAGTGAGAGGTATTATAATTGCCATTAATGAATATTCATAACAGACTATCATAGAATAGCATAACTACGTCATATATTTTGTATGAAGGTTAATGACTGCTATCGTTCAGTTCTTCTCCCACTATCACATCAGCTATTGTGATACTAAGAGCTCAGCAGTAATAGTGGCTCCTTCTAATAATATAGCAGATCTGAATTAGTAACAAAATCCTTTTCTAATAGAAAAATAGTGCTGAGTTTGCTTTGGAGTTACCTGTGCTATTTTAATAACACCTGATTAGCTGCAGATTTCACAGATGTTGAACTTTTAAATTAACTGTGTTTACTTCCCCTAGAAAGTGCAGTATATTAGGCCAGTACTTACAAACTTGCTTTTTAAATTAGGTAACTATGTCTAGCTTCATACCTCTGTGCAGCTGGCCTGGTTTTCAGAGAGGAGTACTGCAGTCAGCTGGAGCTGTGGAGGTTTAGCACTCTGGGCAGTCAGATCACTTGAATTCAAGTACTACTTGCTTTAGATGTGGGCAGTTTTGCCCTGTGTTTGATGGGACAGTGTCATGGTCCCCTGGGCTCCGTGTGTATTTCAGGACGGTTTATACCAGTGCGGTGGTTTAACCCACAGGTAGGACCATGTGGTCCTGCGCTCACTCCCTGCACCTGCTGAGATGGGATGGGAATCACAACAGAGGGGGCACGGATTAGGATGAGGGACAGGGACGGCTCACTCACCAGTTACGATCATGGGCAAAACGGACTCAACTTGGGGAAGAAAAATCAATTTAATTCATTGCCATTCATCCAAGTAGCACAGTGAGACATAACAACCACATCTTAAGACACCTTCCCCCCACCCCTCCCTTCTTCCTCGGCTCAAATCACTTTGCTCCTGATTTCTCTGCCTTTTCCCCTACAGTGGCACAGGGAGCAGGGAGTGGGGGTTCAGTCAGTCCAGGAACAAGATGTTCCAAAGTGAGCT